CCTTAATTAAACCGAATTTGTAAGTCTTAATTGAACCACATGCACAGGCATTAATGAAGCAGTATATTAACACTGCTCTGTCAAGAAGACAACACACTAATGCTCAATACTTATATTCCTGGAAAATGTACTCGTTGGGCCTCATCAAAGCATAATAGGGAAGTAGATAAACAATTAATCTCATTAATTGCAATCAAAGGACAAACTATAAACTAGTTGCCTAGAGGAATCCACTTCGCCAGGTTTCCTCGCAAACAGAGATGGTGCTAATGAAGTGACAGTGTGACATAAGGGGACAGATGAGGAATTAAAGCGTCCGTTGGAATGTCAGAGAAGGACTTTCAAACAGGGGGAAACCAAGGCCTTCTCTTGCCACAGCCAGTTCTTAGAAGGTTACTCTTCAGATCCATCCACTGATTTCTTCAGCAAAGGCACACTCGGCCTCTCACGCTGGCCATCGTTTTGCAATTACGTTTGTATCAAGTCATCACGTGCGTGGTACACCTTAAACTTAGACGATGTTGGATGTCAATTATAGCTCCATAAAACTGGGGACAATAAATAAAAAAACCGCACTCCATGAGCTGGCTACTGTTCCTGACAATGAAAATTTAAACATGAGTAAGACATGCTCCTTGGTAAGAAAGGGTGTAACGAGAGAGATTTAGGGACTATTTTGGGTCATGCCCTTTTGTAAGCATCTCAGTGGATGTCCTATTTTTTATTTCCACAAAACCTTAACGGTCAGGTGTTACTAATCACATTTTATAGATTCATATATTTTGAGGTTGAACAACTGGCTCTTTGCATATTTAGTGAGCAGTAGACAAGAGGACTTAACAAGTCATCTGACTCCCAAGACCATGGTTACTATAAAATTCATCTGTAGACCAGTTGGATCAGCAGACGTGTGTGCAGATATTGGATGATTATCATTCTTCTCCCGAGTCTCAGAGGTGATACTGTGGGAACGCGCTCTGCCTGGATTACGCTTCCTGATTGAGATGCTGACATCCCAGACACCTACTTTCATTCTGTCCCACATGAATGTTCTTTCTTCTCAGTGGCTCCTTTATTTGTGTGCCAAAGGCTGCTCCTGTCTTTCATATTCTTGCGTCACTTCCCCTGGCGTCCTTCTGGTCTACCCAGCATCTGTCTTCTAACAGTGATCCCATGACCCTGACCCTGGAGCGTGACTTTCCCCATTCAGGGCCCACGATGATTTGGATCTTGCCTGAATGCTCAGTCTTTTAACTCCAGAGCTAGCCCAAGTGTGCCCCTGTCCCTCCCTGTCCATGTCATTTGTTCACCTTGAATACCTTTCCATCACCTTAGGAAACTCGCTGCTGAGCCCTCAATGTTAGGTTCAAGTGACACCTCTATGAATCCTCCCTTTTAGTCAGTAAAAAAAAACAAACACCTCCCACCCCCAGTTTTGTCATTGTTCCATTTGTCTATCAGTGGAGTACAGTTACTTGTTTACGTGCCTCTGCTTTCACCAGATGGTGGGTTTCTAAATTGAAGCATCCATCACGTACTTCTTGGCATTCTTCTAGGGCACGGGGCAATATTTCTGTTGAATGTATTTTAAAAAGCACACACACCGAACTGCATGCAAATGATGCAGTTACCTCCCCAGTGTCCTCAGTCCCCTAAAACAAGAAAGAATGAAGCTAGTTCTTCCTGACTGTAAAGAGAAGGCATCCGGAAGGTATTGCTCAGGCCATAAGCTCGGGGTTTGCAGCCAACTCTAGTAAATACAGAGCTCCTTCGACCACAAAAAACAAAAGGAGGAACTTTGTTGGCACAGGATGTCTGTATACGCTTCCCATGGCAAATGCTCGTTTGCCTCCTGATGCCACAACTGGTTGATATCAGGGCCTGATGTCATTCATCCTCATTTTTGTCCACCGAGGGGTACCTACGTCCTTCTAAAGGATGCCTCGGTCGCTTAGCCCTGAATCCCTTCAGTCTATTCTCTTAAGTCCTTGAAGGATCTCAAAACCAAACAAACATCTGATTGCATCCCTTCACTGTTGAAATAATTTAACGCCTCTTGGGATAAAAACCTAAATCATTTGATTGTCCTTTCAGACCTTTTTTTTCCCAATGGTCCTTTCACTCCATCTTCTATCCACATGACACATTCTAATCATAAACTGTTACTTTGTGTTCTCTAAACAGTGTCATCTCTAATCTTAGCCCTTTTTAAAAAATTAACCCTTGATTTTTAGAGTGGTTTTGGGTTTACAGAAAANATGTATAGCCTAAATGCCTCCTTGCCTCATTGCTTCTCCACATGTCCTTATCAATAAGCCCTCAATGACCTCATTTAGTAGGTCATGTAGCTGACCTACTGAGTGCCCCTCAAGGACAACAGGTGAGATGATGACATCCTGACACATCTTACTTCATTCTTATATCAAAACAATTTTACTTCTAAGAACAACTTTCTTTTGTTTTTGCCATAAACAAGGACATTTGAAATCGGATCAAACCAGTGCACAACACAAGCTATTCCTCCCTGTATCCTTCACAGTACCTCCCATATTACGTGGCCCAAATTGGACCTTCCGTCTCAGGCTGACTGAAAGGCATACCACCCACATGTTCCTCAGAAGCAGTCGTAGACAATCAGGGCAGATTGGTTTTATTAGTTGCATTTTACCCAGCTGGACAATCACAGCTTGTGGCCAATGATGTAGAAAAACGGAGTTGTCATAGTTTTTCTGGATGGTCTCCACACATGTGCAACCCAAATTAAAGGGCCCTGGACGTGAACCTTGTCACACGCAATCAAAGTGTATTCAAGCGTTCTGGCCGTATGTACTGATAAATTCCAGTGGACAGGGCTGGGGGAATTTGGGAAAGATGTGTCTGTTGGATAGTAAAGAAAATTAGCTATAGGGCCCATCATGGTCACTTTTATTAGCACATCCACTGAGGTCACAGATGATGCCAAACAAGAGAGAGACACAAATATGAATTAGGGCAAATGCAACGTAGAGGCGGTCGGAGTGACAGGTAGATTCATGAGAGCACGCATTGCTTGTTTTCACAGATATCATTACAAGGAACAAGTTCCTGCTCACTCAACGTTTTAGCTCTGGTGTTCTTTTCTCCCTGAAAATAATGTAGAAGTGGCTTACATTTTATTATTGTTATTAATATTACATGGAACAGTTATTGCAGTACTCATAAAAAAGGAATATTTTGTGCTTATAATCTCTCTTTTTAGGAGAAGAATACGCCTCTCTTGAAAGTCCAGCGTAAAGCATGTGCATCTTCACTTGATGAGTATAATTAGCACATTCGTCGGTGCTGTCATCACTGATAATCAACACAATAATAACTCCTTATGTTTATGTGG